ATTTCATTTTGTTGAGTTATGTGAACTCCTTCCGTTGCAGGTTCAGGCAACTTTTCCTTTTCAGGTGGGTTCTCCATTTCAGGTATTCTGTCTTTTTCAGGTAGATTTTCCATTTCCGGTTTGTTTCCACAATCAGGTAAGTTTACATTTATGTCCATGTCCTCTTGAACAATATCAGGCACTGTCACATGTTCTGAAGCTTGAGAATTGTCTGATTTGGGTTGCTCATTTACAGGGTTTGACTTAGTCTTGGGAGGAAAGACTACTTTGTATTGTTCAAACGACCTAGAGATCTCTTTGAGAGTATCTGAAGGGTAATAGAGGGGTGTAGCGTTATTAAGATCCTATTGTCTGCCCTTAACAGCTGCCCCTTCACACAGTAACAACGTGTAGGAATCGCCAAGGTCGGATGCTGGTTTCAGTATGTTTACATTCCAGAAGAAGAGAAGAAGAAGAACGCTTTCCATTAATTAATCAAAGTACTCTATTTGTGATAAAGCTAATCAAAGCATATGTTGATCAATAATAATCAGGTGAATGATCAGTGAAATAAAGATGTCATGAGTTATGTGTTTAATGAATAAACAGGACTGCACCAGACAGACTGATCTACATTAACATGGAAACGCATGACACATTGTTCTCAACCAATCAGAACTTTCGTCTGTCGTAGGGCAGAATCTGGGTTGTTTAATGAAGTTGTCCAATCCGGTTTACTAAGATTTGTTAACAACTAGGGGATATAAAACAAGGCAACGCCATTTTAAACTCAGTTCCATTTTAACCTCAGCTCTGTTCGATCTGAGTTCCAAAGGAGTTACATCATACTCTCAACGTAGTTTTCAACCAGCTCTCGATCCATCACCGCAAAAGAGAGGTGCGGCCTGGCCAGATGCACTTTCTACTTTAAGCTGAGAACTGTACGTCCCTTCAAAATAAGAGCTGAACTCGCTGACGCCTGCCGCTGCTACCGGAGTCGACCCGCAGACTGGCTTTGTAGTGCTGCGACCGCTGTTTCACCAGCTCCAGCACATCTGAAGGTCCGAGGACCTGGCATTTCCTGATCTAACACGGGAGGCCCCATACGGTACGTGGTTACGGCAAAATGGCTGCTCATGTCATCAGCTTCTGAAGCCTCATGATTCGTAGTCATAACAACCAGATCCGCCTACGTCAGCCTAGAGATTCTGGACACACACACACACACCAACACGAAACATCCAAATCCATATGCATCCATCACGGAGTTAGTCCTGGTAGATTGTAAGAATTTATAATTATAGAAATTAAAGATTCTTAAACGATCCCAACTCTCTCTTTTCTTGTCTCTCAGTCAATACAAGGTGTTTAAGTAAACTCCCTGATGATAAAAACAACCACTTCTGATTATAATATTTAGATCTAATTACAGTGTATAAATATACAAATATACAAACTACAGATCACTACAGGGGGTAGTTTTCCTCTTCCTCAGAGTTGTATTCAAGCTCATGTTTGTCAGGATCAGTTGTTGGGTGTTGGCGTGTGCTTGGCTGTTGGGGCTTTACTTGTACTGCTGGAGGATTTTCAGGGGCAGTTGGCAAAAACCCACAAGGTAACAAAAGGTCTCTGTGAAGAGTTCTAGTGGGACCATTGTGATGCTCCGGTTTGACTGTAAATACATGGAGGTTGCCTTTTTGACTAACAACCACGTGGACAATGGACTCCCACTTATCAGCCAACTTGTTCTTTCCCCTAATCCGAACATTCCTTACAAGCATGCAATCTCCAACACCTAGGACAGATTCAGTTACATGTTACGTTCAGCAACTTTGCTAACATTTTTGGTAGCCAGTTGGTAGCTCTCCTGAAGGTGAGATTTGAGGGCTTTAACGTATTGCGAGTGAGACTGCTGCTGGCGATAGTTCAGGGGGACATTGAAGGCAAGATCAATGGGTAGCCTAGGTTGCCTACCAAACATTAACTCATGCGGCGTAAATCCTGTACTTTCATGTTTGGTGCAATTATACGCGTGAACGAGTGGCTTAACAAAATCACACCAGTGTTTCTTGTCTTCTTCTTTGAGGGTACCCAACATGTTTAGTAAGGTTCCATTAAACCTCTCCACAGGGTTTCCCCTGGGATGGTAGGGTGAGGTTCTGCTCTTTTGAATCCCAGCTAGGTCGCATAACTCTTTGATAGTTTTAGACTCAAAGTCTGCCCCCTGATCACTATGCAACTTCTCGGGAAATCCATAGTGGATGATAAAGTTTTCCCACAGCACCTTGGCTACAGTTTTAGCATTAAACAACATAAATCTGCTACCTTGGCTTCCCATTTACATGAAATTAGCAATATAATACAACAAAACATTTCTTTTATCAAATAAAATACAGTTACTGAACTCACCAAGTCCCGTTCAGTTATGTTCACAACATCACCAAGGCACAGCAGGTCAGGAAACAGAAATACCTTCTCCAGAGTCTCAAAATGACTTTATGTGGACTTCTAGGTCGATATTTAATATGTTTTTTGTCTTATTTATGCAGCAGCTCCGCAGGGAGTGTCTGCATTGCTTCCTCCGCAGCGCCAAAGTGAAAGAACGTTGTTTACGGATTGTAACCCCAGATTCTATGAGTCTAGTCGCAGCCCTTAAGCTAGCTGCTATTGGAAGGATGATCTCAGCATCAGCCAATCATGAAGAGCTTAAATGTACGCCCACCAATGGTGGGCACCCCTGTGGGTCTATAAGTGGAGCGACTCCACTGTTTGCCTCCGATGGCTCTTAGTCCTAACAGAACCAGTGGGGCCATTGGCTTAAGGGCTGCGACTAGACTCATAGAATCTGGGGTTACAATACGTAACCAACATTCTATTTCGTCTAGTCGCAGCCCTTAAGCTAGCTGCTATTGGAATAATGCACAGCTGGATGGGTTAACACCACACTGGTTAGCTCAACCAATGGACACACCCAACATGTCTCCTTTTAGCGAGGGTCGCTCAGCCTTAACCCAGGGCTTAAAAGGCTGAGGCAGCCAGAGAGAAGAGTGGGGCCCCCACTAAAAATATCATCCACAAGAGGATGAAATTCATTTAGGTAGGGCTGATGTGGTGCCATAGTGCTTTCACTCAGTCTGCTGAGGTCCAAGCACTGAACGAGTGATGGATCCTGAAGACACATCTCATAAATAATAACGAGTAAAAGAACAGGGTGAAGCCCATGAAGCAGCCTGACAAATGTCTTCCATCGACACACCACTGTGGAGCGCCATAGAAGAGGAAATCCCTCTGGCTGAGTGAGCCCTGAGCGTCTCAGGAGGATCCCGCCCTGATGATGTGTAAGTGAGTGAAATGGCGTCACACAGCCAGTGTGAAAGACGCTGGGTCGACAGCGCTTGCCCAAGGGAAGAATCTCTGTAGTACACAAACAGGTTTTGTGAGTGGCGAACCCCTGAAGTGCGTGACACATATCGCGCGAGCACACGCACCGGGCAGAGAAGGTGGGAAGCCGCCTCCTCATCAGAATTATGGGGAGGAGGAAAAAGTCCAGCCAATGAAATTGACCTGGATTTGAAGGAAGTATTAATGTTTTTGGGCACAAAGGCTGGGTTGGGGCATAAAACATTGGACCTGCCATCTTCCTGGATCCTGAGGCATGCGGGAGCCACTGAGAGGGTGGTTAGGTTGCTCACTCTCTTAACTGATGCCAGCGCCAGCAGCAAGGCAGTTATGAGTGACAGGAACTTGAGTGAGACCTGGTCCAAGGGTTCAAATGGGGCTTCAGATAAGCCGAGCAGAACCACCGTTAGATCCCACTGGGGAATTAGCGGGCGGGACATAGGTCTGTTCCTTCTGACACCTTTTAGAAAACGTTTTGTGATGGGATGATTGAAAACAGATCTATCTCCAAAACCCTGGTGACAGGATGAGATAGCTGCAGCATGTTTTAATAGTGCTGAATGTGAGGCCCCTGTCCATCAGTATCTGCAGAAACGATAGGACATCTGCCAGCTGGCAGGAGAGCGCTTGAACATTCCGCTCTGTGCACCATTTCTGGAAAGCTGCCCATTTAGCAGCATAAGATGTGACGGTAGAAGGCGCCCGCGCACTCTGAATCGTGGCGACTACATCATGCGGCAGCCCAGAAGCCTCTAAGCGTGACCGCTCAGCGGCCAGACCCACAGCCGTTGGCCTATTTTCTGAGGATGTTTGATTATCCCATCCGCCTGGAGAAGGGCATCCACCCTCCACGGAAGCCTCCACGGGGAGCCGGACACTAGCGCTTGCAGGTCTGGAAACCATGACGCGGACAAGCATCTGGGAGCTACCAGAATTACCGAGAGCTGTTCCGACCGAACTCGGTCCAGGAGATGGGGAATCAGTGGGACTGGCGGAAACGTATACAGGAGCGTCTGAGGCCAGGCTGGTATGAGAAGGCGTCTGCTCCGAGTGGGGGGTGGTCCTGGGGACTCAGGGAAAACCACAGGCGACACTGAGCGTTTTCGCGAGAGGCGAACAGATCCACAGAGGGTTCCCCGAACTTGATCCAGATCTGTGATATCAGTGCGGGATGCAGATGCCAGTCGGAGTCGCGGGGTCCCCCTCTCGACAGGATGTCTGCTGCCACGTTCAGGACCCCCGAATGTAGGTGGCTTTGATGGACAGCAGGTGGACATGTGCCCAACACAGTAAATCTGTGGCTAC